AAAGAAAGCAACTAAATGTCTAACAAAGGATTAGTTAAATAAATTATGTTAAGTCCATACAACTAAACACAAAACAGCCAATAAGTAAAATATTGCCGGCATGTAAAATCTCAAGATATATTGTTGCAAGTCTCCCACTCCGAGAATGTAAGCCCCATTATGGGAGGGATCTTTGCTATATTCACTGACAGGGGGCATTTAATGTTTGTAAAAAGGATGGAATTTTAAAAGATAGTTATAAAATAGGAGCCACATATTGTGAAAAAAATAAAAAAGCATATACACATCTACAAAATACACACACATAAACAGATCTATAAAATTTTTACATATATATAATTACAAAATAAATAGAAAAATGAAAAAGAAAGTAGACCAAAATGTTTCCAGTAGTTATGTCTGGATGGTGTAGTTTTAAGTGACCTGCCCCGCCCCTTTTCCTTTCTGTATTTTACAAATTTTACTTTACTTTTCTAATCAAGGAGAAAATTGTAGGGTCAAGGGGGAAACTTCTAAAGCCATGGGCTCATTTCTAGAATTTTCTCCTAGGATGTTCCTTACCCCTCTGTTCTCGGGCTCTGGCCTCTGTCCCTGAGGGCGGGGAGGGGTCTTCTCTCTGAAACAGAAATGGCATAAAGTCTATTACAAATTCTTTGAGCTGCTCCCTGTGAGAATTGGGAGCTCTTCACCAACAGGTTGGGGCTATGGCCCCCATTCCTGTCTAGGATGGGGCTTATGCTGAATTAAACCAAATACTAACTACTCTTCATTCTGCCTGCAATTGTTCTTCCCAACTATATAGAAAACTAGGGAGAAAATCAGATTAGGATATATTCATCAGACTGCACTACAGCCTCTTACAGAGATCCTGACCCAGACTGGTTGAGAATGACCAGATGCCATCCCTGGGCCTGTAAGATATTGGTGCCACGGGTGTCAGAAATCCCAAATTCAAACTGAAACAGAGGGTGGCTTATTGGCAGAGAGGGCTGAGCTTCACGATCTCTCTGATCTGCCCCTGTTAACTTCAGCTTTACTCCCACTACTCTTGGGCAAGTACCCATGCTATTCTTTTTACCTCTGGGTCTCAGCCCCTCCAATCACTCATCCCATGAAAGCCTGACTGAGGGCTTGTTACACATTAGGCACTAAGCAGGATGCTACCAATACTTAAAACAAATTCTACTCTTGAGGTATTTATAGTTTTAAGGGGGATACTGCCAATAACAAGACTACATGGGAAGGGCCTTCTTTAAAGAGTGCAGTAGGAACACGGTGACAGCAACTAACATGGGGAAGACTACTTCAAATAGGAAGTGACTTTAGGGTTGCTCATAAAAGATGGGTAGAAGTTAGAAGAGGCAGCAAGGGTGGGGGTGGTTTGAGCAGGAGAGCCAGAAGAGGCAGAGGAGAGAGCAAATGCAAAGGCTGATGAATGTGAAAGGACAAGTCCCTTTAAGAGAAGTCTAATATGTCTAGTATATAGGGTATGCCAGAGTGAGTGGGAGAAGGTAAGAGATGCTTCTGGAGAACTTAGGGGTACCAGACCATGAAGGGCTCTTAGTATTTGTGTTTGTAGAATGCTGAACCCACCCACACCTCCACTTCTAGAAGACCCAAACTCTACCAAGCCACCCACATTCCCTGCTCTCTTTCCCCCTGAACTTTACACATCACGACTGCAGCAACCCCAACCCCTGGAGACTCTCCGGCCATACATCCTGCTTCCTAGGCTGCAGCAAGTGATCTTTCACAGCACTCTGAACACCTGCAATTGTGATATCTGCGCACCGCTGGCTCCCTAGACCCAGCACATTGTCTGCCCAAGGGGAGATGACACCCAGTGGGGTATCTGTATTACAGTCCAGCAAGTGGCAACTTGGCTTCCTGCCATCCCTCCCAGCTGAGTCCCATCTGGATCAGATTGCCTCAGAACCAAGGGATCATCAGGCACTAAGCAAAGGGTGGGGTTGGGGATGCTGGATGGAAGTAAATTTATGTCCAAGGGGAGAAGTGGGTGGGACAGGCACCCCAAGTCCTCACCTGGGGTCCTGCTGCCCAGTGCTGCCCCTGCCATACAGCGGGATGACCTTGTCTCGGCTGATGCCGGCTTTGCAAACTGGACACACCTGTCTGTTAGGTCTGGTCTCCAACCACTGCAAGCAGGAGAGGAAAATGCATGAATGGTCCAAGGCCCACCACAGAGTGATCAGTCGGAGTCTGCAGGAGAATACCATAGGCCAGAGGCCTCAAACTGGGAAACACCAATATGAGCAGGGTTAGGAATCTAACCCTGTGACTCCTGCTCCTAGCACTCAATAAATATTTACCAGTGGTGAAATCAAAATTGCCTTTAAATACCATCATAATTAAACAGGCTTCTTCATGCTCTGTTTCTCTCTAGGGGCTCCTAGTAACACAGCAGGAAGAAACGACAAGCCTCAGGCTGTCAAGGGTTCTGACATACCTAGCCTCAGTTTAGGCTGCTGGTATGAGTACAATGAACTTTAAATCTCCACCTTCCTGGAAGGAGCAACTGTGTTATCCTGTCAGTCATATTTTTCTTTCTGTGATCTCTCTTTTTTTTGAAACAGGGCCTCTCTCTGTCGCCCTGGCTACAGTGCAATGGCGTCATCATAGCTCACTACAACCTCAAACTCCTGGGTTCAAGTGATCCTCCAGCCTCAGCCTCCCAAGTTGTTGGTATTACAGGTGTGCACCAGCACACACAGCTAATTTTTTTTCTATTTTTTTTGTAGAGACAGGGTCTCGCTCAAACTTCCTAGACTCAAGCAATCCTCCCACCTTAGACTCCCAAAGTGCTAGGATTACAGGTGTCTGGCCAATCTCTCATTTTTATACCATTTCTCCAACAACTGTGCATCACAGACATCAGCATTTGGAGATAAGCTGATCATTTTCTGGTGATTTACTATGTGCCAGAGGATAGGTTTCACTCGTTATCTAAATTTGCCTAATGTTTTTTATGTACTTTCCTTGATACTTGCATTCAACTGTTTCTTTCAGTATAAAAAAAAGGCTGGGTGTGGTGGCTCATGCCTGTAATCCTAGCACTCTGGGAGGCTGAAACGAGAGGATTGCTTGAGGTCAGGAATTCAAGATCACCCTGAGTAAGAGCAAGACTTTGTCTCAAAATAAATTTAAAAAAATAATTTGAGGTTGCTGTGAGCTAAGATGACGCCACGGCACTGTAGCCCAGGCAACACAGTGAGACTCTGTCTCAAAAAAAAAAA